TGTTCACAAGTTATCCAATCTGTATGTAACTGCTGAGTGTATGATGTCAACATTTTTCCTCTTTTTCACAAAGGAACACCTTTGATCATTGTGCTCCTTCTGCTGGTGCCCTGTGGTTGTGTTGCTGCGATCATGCTTCTTAGAAAGAAACCTCACAGCAGGTACTGTTGTTGTCAGAGCTGAGTCTCAGTCAGCTGAGGCTGTACTACGAAGCCAGTTTGACATAGCCAGGCTTTCTTTGTGTAAGCCAAATTGACAAAACAGAAATCCCCAGCCAGAGATTACAAGTATCACAAAGGAGTTTTTCAACTTTCTTTGTTAACTCAGACTTTCTGCTTCAGACTCTATTCACATAGAAGGAGGCGTTTGAAGCGTCACGTGACTTTTCTTCTGCACAAAATGAATTGATCATGTGCAGCAGCTTCAGTCAACACGTTGTTTTAATGGAGAACAATGAGGAACTTTTTTTTTTATTTTTTTTTTTAAATGTGACAGTTAAAGCACTGCGACTGCAAATGGTGCAAGACAAGCATGCTGGTAGAAAAATGTTAAACGTGTTCATATGAATATTTTACCGATTTACTTCCAACTGACAGGTGCACATTAAAGTTAAACTTTAGACTTCATACATTTAAACATGATCTTGTATTGAAGTGCATTTAGGTCTGACACTGTCCTATAATGCAGAAATATCACTTTATTGTTTGACCCAATCAGAGCAAAATTAATATTATTGACTGAATATTCTCTGTAATAAATACCAGCAGAATAATCCATTTTCTCATCTGCAGTACCAGCGGTTTAAATGGACTTGACAGAAAATCAGAGCCAAACATAAAAACATTTTTATGTGATTCCTGCATCACCGGTCGTTGTGGTGGTATGTGATATATATTCACCCGCAACCTAACCTAAATCCGAAACTCTGAACATAACCTGCTCCCGACCAGGTTAGCTCCACATTGTAAGTTACCATGGAGATCTAGCCAGGTAAAAAGAGAGCCACCTTTGTGGCACTGAAAACTCTGGCTTTAAGCTCAACATACCTGCTAACCCACGAATCTCACTCTGTAGTACAGTCCTCAGGTCAAAGTTTGCGTAGCGTTGGTTGGTTGTTGGTTGTTGTTCACAAGTTATCCAATCTGTATGTAACTGCTGAGTGTATGATGTCAACATTTTTCCTCTTTTTCACAAAGGAACACCTTTGATCATTGTGCT